CTAATTTTTACAGGTTGCCAGGTCCTGCTCCAGCACAGCCTTCCATTTCCCAGCCCCGAGACTGCATCCAGAAAACTAGCCTTTGCCATGGAAATTTGTGCAATCTGAGACTGCTCTAAACCCTTTCACCCCCGCCAAAGCAATGACCCACCTAAAAGGAACAAGTTCAAAAATATGTCTCTAAATTAGGGTTCTAGTAAAGCACTGTTAAAATACACATTGCGTTTCAATCTCATGTCCCCTGTATACACAGATAGGAGTACAGCTGCCCAACTACAAACATGACTGTATTCCCTAAGAGATAAACAGGCCACTCCTATCAGGTTTCTCCACTTTCCTGGGCTGCTTTATCAGGAGATGCAGCCCAGATGCCTGCTGCTATATTGGGCTGATCCAGACTGGCTGTTTTCTGTCTCAGCAGGCACATGTGCAAAGACAATATCTCACTCCGAAAAGGCAGTTTCTCTCAGTATCATAAACCCCAGCAGAACCAGACTGCTTATCCCTTCCATAGCACATACTGGGCACATTGAGGGGCAGGATACAGGGTATAAAAACCCAGGACAGTTTTCTGCATCACTGTCCCCTCCAAATCTCACTCAACCACCTCCTCACCTCTCTGGGCGGCTGGAACTCTGGGTGCAGCTTCTTTGGCCGAGCAAGCTTCAGGATCCGCGGAGAGGGGTCATAGGACAGAGCAGCTGGTGACACAGGCCACTCAGGGGACTCGCGAGGCCTGAAAACAGAGAGTCATTGCACTGCCACTCACAGATATTCCCCCACTCTGGTTTAACCAGGCTGCAACTGGGATGTTTAAGCTTCATGTTTGCTGTAGAAGAAGGCAGCTTTGTCTTGTGGGCATTTCCAGTGTAGAACTCATCCCATGAGGGTCCAGAAGTTCTAATCCCAGCAGAGACCCTGCTCTACATTTTATCTACTGTTATACCAATCCTCCGTTCCTGCATTTATTACTTTGAAGCTGGACTGATGCTACAAGGTTCAAGAGTCTACCTATACCACCCTATCTATAGGCTTTCTGGCCTCTCACCTTTGCAGCAGGTAAGCTGGTGGGCATTTTTTAGGTTCAGACAACTTCAGCAGCCGATCAGAAAGGAAGCTAAAATCCTTTCTGAGAGGGACACACCCACAGATAGTTGATTCCCTTCTGCAGTACAAGAAGAGAGATTTTGAGGAACAGCACAGAAGAGTTAGCAAAATGCAACTGACAGAGAACATGATCCTGGCAGATGGTATACTAAGTCTGATTAAACATCCATGCTGGCTGTATGTACAAAAGTTGGCACTGGAGCACATGGAAAAGCCATGAACAAATGCGCATTTACACTTGAGACTTCCTCACTTTAAAGGTAAATGCTGTTTGTATCTGAAGGGTCTTCTTTTAAGCATCCTCCACACATTGCTTTCAAAGTCTAGGCCTTTCCCTGAACCGTTTCAAGAAGCCACTCCACAGCAACCAGCAGCATCACTGTTGGTCAAGTCTGCCAATCTAGAAATCTCTTTGTTGCAAAGGCTTGATAGCACCTTGTGCTCTTGTAGCTTCTTTCATCTTGGTATCTCTACATTTGCCTAGTGTCATGTTCATCCAGCTTTCCACCAGGCATAACTGTTGCAAGATGCTTGTCATCACCAGGAAAGAGGTAAACAGAAAGGCAGGAAGGGCTGTCAGATGGACACCATTAGCAAGAGGCAGAAGCTCTCAGGAGGATGAGAGCCCATAGCTGGTGAGAGTGGCAGAGGGGAGGAAACTACAGACATGCATGTCATGGCATCCCTCCAGGTAGAGGAAAGCCAGGAGAGCAACATAATTTTGTCTCCATTCTCATTGCTAGGATTTCTTACAGACTAGCAACCACCATCCTGTCTTCAAAGGAGCTTCATCCCCTCCAACAGAGCTACAGATGATTAGTTCATGTAAGGCAGCATCGCCCAGCACCACTGATGTTTACATTTTTTGCCTCGTTTTTCATATAATTTTTCACTCCTCTTCCAAAACATGATCTAGTTGTTCACCATGCAGTGACAGAAGAGGTTCAACTCAAGGCAAGAGACTTGGATTCCTTCCAGCCAGCAGGATGCTGCAAGATTTCTGTTTGCAGCACTTCCTAACCTTTATCTTCAAGATTTAGGTCAGACTCCAAGAGGATGCAGGGGATCATTAATTGTGTCCAGGCATCTGGCTGGGCTGCAACAGTCCCAGTACACACAGGAAACACTCTAAGGACAGTTCATCTGTATTCGCAGGTCCAACGCACACATTTCCATTAAGGAATGCATGCCTGCTCATGGTGTCTGCTTCCAAGCCAAAGCAGAGCTATTAGTTGGGGCTTTTTTTGTTACAGCAGAGGATGTGCTGTTGTTGCAGCAGCTCCCATGTGCTTGGAGGCTGAGATCAAAGCAGGCTCCTATGACAGCTGGTGCAAACCCAGAGCTCTAATTGGACCAGCAACCACATGTTGCAGAAACCCTTCCTACAGCCAGGAAGTGGGTACCAAAACTTGGCACCCCCCAGTTCTTCCCCATTTTGGAAATCAAGCACTCAGGGTGACTATGCTCCCATAGCACTTTCTTCCCTGCTACAGACTGACCCTGTTCCAAGCACCAAAACAGACCCTTGGGGGTCTCAGTGCCATGGTCCTCCCTGTGGGGCAGTGGTGGTGGGAGAGGAGATGGCATCTCCCCTTCCCCTGGGAGCTAGCATGTTCGCCCTGGTTAGAGAGCCTCTGAGATACCTCCTTCCCCAGGATGTGCTACCATATTACTGACCTGCGCTGGTGCTTGCCAAAATCTTTCCTGTGCTTGGCTGGTGCTAATGTTCTTGAAGATGGCTGAGCTGTCATAGTTCCCCCTGAGAGGGTCCAGATTGTCTCTTGGTTTCTTCACACAAGCCTAGCAAGAACAGCAAGTGACTGAAAGTTTAGTAACATGCACAAGTGTGAAATGTGTTTGCTGGGGTTGTCCTTCCCTGCCTAGGATGGAACACACACATTCCCCATGGCTCCCCACAGCTGTAAAATGCCACTATCATTCCCTGAGCATTCACCTTCTGTGGCACTGAATTTCCTACCATGCTCCAGGTTGTTGTTGTCCACTCAAAAATAAAAGAGTCTGCAAGTGATAAGTCTGTTTTCAGTTGCCAGTGGATGTGCAGAAAGAGTCATTTCATTACATCTCTGAAACCCCTGGGGGAGTTTCATGATTACATTTTTTTTGCCTCACCATTACCACCTAACTTCACCACAGGTATGACAGTAAAAATAATAATAATGTTTCAGTCAGGGTGTGCCACGGAAAGTGAGTGACGTGTTTGCAGCATGTTAGTAGTTACTCTCTCCTGTGCTCAGGACAAATTTAGAGTTGTTCATCCCCCACTGAGAGAGATGCCATCATGAGAGAGGGTACTGGGGTAGTCAGGACAGGGAACAGCAGGGCAATGGGTTTGTGAAGCCTTTTCTGAGACCCATCCAGACAATGGAGAAGAGTTATTATCAAGAGAATGTTGCCCTGGCTTGCAAAACTATAGTTCGACCATGTCAGGCAGACAGCAACTCTGTTCCTAAAGCCAGACTATGTCCCACAGGACACAGCAGCCTGTGGCTCCAATGAGCTCTGGTCACCTTGCACCACAGTGTCATCCAACCCACAACATCTCAGTTGGACAGCTCAGATGGGGCAACAAAGGCAAGACTTGAGTCAAGCCCATTTTTTTGATTGAAAACAAGAAAGAGAAATTTGGAGGGAGCCCTTCAAGCACTGAACATCCCAGTTTGCTTTTCTGGAGACACTTCCACTCTTGAGAAGAAAGCACTAGCAAGACGATGGCAGAGGGTCTGCTCTGGTTGAGCCCCCATCAGTTCCCAGCCCTTGAGCAAGGGCTGTTTGAGCACCAGCTTACCTGGGATCGCTTTCACAAGCTGCTTTCTTGGGTTCTGCAAGTGCAAGTATCCTGTCAAGACTGCAGAAAACAACAAACATGTAATTAAACATACAGTTAAACCAACAAAGCATAAAGGATCTACTGCTGTACTCAAAGCTATATAACACGATCTTGAAGTTCCCAGCCCTTGAGCAAGGGCTGTTTGAGCACCAGCTTACCTGGGATCGCTTTCACAAGCTGCTTTCTTGGGTTCTGCAAGTGCAAGTATCCTGTCAAGACTGCAGAAAACAACAAACATGTAATTAAACATACAGTTAAACCAACAAAGCATAAAGGATCTACTGCTGTACTCAAAGCTATATAACACGATCTTGAACCTCTGTGGCCTCCATTCTTTGTTTAAGGACCTCTCTCTTCAAGTACTGTCCATCCATTTAATCTGGTGAACTCACCAGCCCAATGATTTTTGTTCTTTCACTTGCAATTCTACCTTCACAGCAGGCTGCCTTTGGGACATGACAGGGAGAGTGGGAAGGAACTTTTCTGGTTAATAGTATGCCATGCAGGAAGATCAGATATCACTGCTGCTCCTGCTGATCAAGAGACATAGGCCTGAAATCCCAGTGGCTGAGAAGTGTTTGTGCTTTATGAGTCATGGTACAGAGAGAAGAATGAGGTGACCAACAAGTGTCTTGCACAAACCCATGATGTCACAGACCAAGCCCATACTCATCCACTGGGGCTGCAGGTGCCTGCCCCCAGCCAGCTGGGGAACAACTACACTGTGCAGGCAGCTGTGGAAGTGCCCCATCATGGAAAAAGCACAGAAGGAGAAAGCCTGGGGAATTGCTTCCCTGCTCAGTATCACCTGGCTATAAGACAGCATAGCCCTAGAGGGGAACAAGGACATCAACAGAGATATGTTTGATGATAGAAAGGGGCCTGTGCTGTGGGGACGTACCTGTGGTTTCTCTGATGGGGCTAATACCTCTAGTAAGATTCCAAGCCTCAGCAAACGCTTGCCAGAGAGCTCAGCACCACAGAGATCCTTGCAATGGCAGGCAGCTGTTACAGCATCCTCACCGCACGCTCTCTGAGATCCAAGCTGATTTACCTCCCCATCACACCTAACTGCTGGCCACAGCACTGCAAGTACAGCTCCCACCGAGATCCCACAGAGGAAACTGCCCTGTAGGACTTTGGCTCCCTGCCACCAGTTCAGCTGTTTATTCTCAAGTGGCTCTCCAGGGGCTTTTCCTTGCACAGGTGCAAAGGGATGAAGGATTAGCATGAAGAGGTCCCCCCTAGCCTAGCTGAGCCAAAGAGCTGGCACTATCTCTGCAAGCAGGCTCATTGCTTTTCCTCCACTGCTGTCACAGATCCACCACATAGCCACAGCCAAATTCAGCACACCATGCATGTGGCCCTAATGCCCCACACTACTGGCTTGGACACTGCTGTGCAAAGCTTCCATCATGACCCAGGCAAGGAATGAGTCACATGCACATTCAAATCCAGTCCCTCAACTCACTTGACAATTGTTAAATTTTAATTTTTTTACAAAAAAGAAGGATTATTTTTGACTCCTTTATCATGTCAAAAGTTCTAGATAGACAAGTATTCCCACACAGGATGCACCTGCAGCAGCTCTGTAACTTGAAGGAGTTAAGCCACTTCACTGACAAGGAAACAGCCTTGAGGGAGCCTTTATTGTTTGGTCCTGCTCATGGTTCCCAGCAAGGAAAATGAGGCCTTGCAGCAAACAGACACAGAAACACTTCCTCTCTGCTTCCTGAGCTCTTAAAGACTCATTGCTTAAGGGGGATCAACTCCCACTGAGATCAATTCCTTGTGAAGCAAACAGTTACAGCTTCCATTTTGAAGGAGCAGGATGGTCAGATGTTGTTTGTCAGGAGAAGCTGAAGGAAGGGCAAAACCAGGCATCATTTCCTCTCCATGTTTACCACAGTGTTATCCAATGTATCAACTCATTGCTCTGTGTAAATCCCCAACTGAGCCCTCCCAAGAGACCTGAGGCACAGCCTAAACACCCAGCCAGGAGGCTGAGGCTGGTAGGACTTCTTACCTGTGTGTGAGCTTGAAGATGAGTAAGAAGAAATTGCAAAGACAAGAACAGGTGAATTTAAAAGCTTGGAAACACCTGTAGCCTGGGTTGCTGCTCTTCAGCATGAAATAATCACATGGCAGATGAAGTTTTTGCTTCTCCTTAGGGTACAATTGCTCAGCAGGTGTTTTTATTGGTTTTCCATTATACATTCCCAGTGCAGCTGACCAGCAATGCATTTGCACTTCAAGTGCTCCATTCCAATGGCTGCTCCTCACTGGGAGATGCCATCAGCCCTGAAGGCTGAAGGACAATGCTCCCAGCACCACATCCCTTCACTAGCATCCTCCTCCTGGGACAGGCACCAGTGGTCACCAATCTGTAGGCTCCCACCTGACTCAGTGTAGCTACCCTTTATTACTGCCTTCAGTAAGCTTCCAGGGAAGGTTTTGAGAGCTTTGGGGGAATAACAGTTGTGTTAAACTGGGGCTTGGTGTCAGTACGAAACAACCGGCCATGTCTTAAGGGGGGGCTAAGGGTGGAAAGTGGGTACAGGATGACAGGAAAACCAGCGATGTGGCAACACTGGCACTGTTTGGAAACCAGGGCTGATTTCAGGCAGCCACATGACCTGATTGCAGCAATGGCCATGAAACAAGACTGGCATCCCACACTCCTAGCAGTGATACCAGGGGCCTGCCAGCAACAGACAGCACTAGAGTGCCCAGGAGACTTTCCCTCGAGCCACACCATGGCTGGGTGAGGGGCTGGGGCACAGGGTTGCCACTGCTGGAGCAGGAGGGGCTGCCTCCAACAGCAACCACGGACACCAGCAACACCAGCAAGTCTCAGCCACTCCATCACCACTCATCACTGAGTGGAGTAATTGTCCAGACCTGCCTCCCAGGTCACAGGGGCCCCTGGCCCTTGACCCCAAGGTCATCATCCTGACTGGCTGCTGGCCCCAGGATCATCATCCAGACTCACATCCTATATCTCGTGGACTGCTGGCCCATGACCCAAGGGCTGTTGTCTGAACTCACCTTGTGGCTCTGGAAGATGCCTGGCCCATGACCCTGGGGTCATTGTTGTGACTCACCTTCCAGGTCTGGTGGCCCACTCTTCACTGACCCCAGGGTCATCATTTAGACTTGCCTCCTGGATCTGGCAGCTCCCCAGACCCTTGCCAGCAGCTGTCTGGCCAATAACCCTTTGGTCATCATCATGACTTGCCTCTGGGGTCTGGCAGCCCCAGGCCAATGACAACCCAGGGTCATCATCCAGAGTCACCTCCCAGGTCCTGCAGGAGCCCATCCCATGACTCCAGTGGTGAATCCGCTGAGTTGCTCTTGGATCCTTTGAGCATCATGGCCCTCATGGCCACTGGACCCAGGAGGCAAGTCTGGATGATGATTCTGGTGTCGTGGTATGGATATCCCCTGGACCAGGGAGGGTAGTCAGGAAGATAACACTGGGGTAACAGGCTGGGGAGCAGCTGGAGCTGGGAGGAGAGTCCAGATGATGACCCCAGTGTCATGGTATGGATATCTTCCAGACCTGGGAGTGTAGTCAGGATGACGACCCCAGTGTCATGGCCCCGATGGCTGCTGGACCCAGGAGGCGACTCTAGACAATGAGCCTGGGTTTTGGGCCAGGGGCTACCAGGCCCAGGAGGTGAGTCCAGATAATGACCCCCAGGGTCAAGGCCTCTATGGCCATTAGAACCAGAGGTGAGTCTAGACAATAATCCCAAGGTCATAGGCTGGCTGGCTGATGGACCCAGGAGGTGAGCCTGAAGGATTGTCCTGGGGACATGGCATGGATGTCCTCCAGACCTGGGAATGTACTCAAGAAAATGACCCCGGTGTCATGGCCCCAACAGCTGCTGGACCAGGGAGACAAGTCTGGGTGATAAGCAGGGCATCATGGACCAGGAGGCCTCTGAACCCTGGAGGGGTGATGAGCAGGACTGAGAATGCAACTCCAGATGATGACTGTGGGGTCATGGTGTGGATGTCCTCCAGACTCAGCAGGGTAGTATGGATGTCATGGTCCAGGGGATCACTGGACTCTGGGAGGAGTCCAGACAATGAACCCATGATCAAGGGCCCGGAAGCTGCCGGACCTGGGAGGTGAGTAGGGATGATGACTCCAGGGTTATGGTATGGGAGTCCCCTGGACCCAGGATGGTAGTCAGGACAATGACCCTGGGGTCTTGGCCACGATGGCCACCAGACATGAGAGGCGAGTGGGGATGGTGACCCTGGGGTCAGGATCCGGGGAGCTGCCAGACCTGGGAGGTGAGTTCAGAAGATGAACTCAGGGTCATGGCCCCAACAGCTCCTCCGATCTGGGAGGCGACACTAGATGAAGACCACGGGGTCATGGTATGGGGGTCCCTCAGACATAGGAGGTGAGTCTGGAGTTTGTCCCCAGGGTCATGTCCCCAACAGCCACCTGACCTGGGAAGTGAGTCTGGACAATGACCCCAGGGTCATGAGCTTAGGGGGCCACTGGACATGGGAGGCAAGTCTAAATGATGACCATGGGGTCTGGACCCAGGAGAGCAGTCGAGACAATGACCCCAGGGTCCCGGGCTGGAAGGCCACCAGACCCTGGAGGCAAGTCTGCACAGTGATGCCAGGGTAATGGGCCAGGTAGCCACTTGACCCCGAAAACAAGCCCGAATGATGACACTTGGGTAGTTGTGGGGCTGCCAGACCAAGGAGGATGATCAGGACGATGACACTGGGGTCATGGCCCTGACAGCTGCAGGACCCAGGTGACCCTCCTCTCATAATCCTGGCATCATTGCCTCATCTCGCCTCCTGGGTCCAGTGGGCCCCTGGCCCATGACGCCAGGGTCATCATCCTGACTCCCCTCCTGGCTCCATAGGCTGACAGGGCTATCATCCTGAGATTGTCATCCTGACTCAACTCCTAGATCTGGCAGCCCCCCAGCCCCTGAGCATGAGGTCACCATCCACCGTCACCATCTGGGTCTGGCAGCCATCAGGGCTGGACCCTGGACTCACTGTCTGGAGTCGCCTCCCAGATCCAGAGACTATTGGAGCCATGATCTCAGGGTCATCATCCCAACTAGCCTCCCAAGTCCAGTGGACCCCCGGCCCTTTACCACAGGGTCATGGTCTAGACTCACCTCCCAGATCCAGCAGTCTCCCATCACCTGACCCCATGGTCATCATCCAGAATTGCCTCCCAGGTCCGGCAGCTGTTGGGGCCATGGCCCCAGTGTCATTGTCCCAGTTCAACTTCCGGGTCCAGTGGCCCCCAGCCCAGGACACTGTGGGCATCATCCAGACTCACCTCCCAGGTCCTTTGGCCCTCTGAACCATGACCCTGGTGTCCTGACTATTGCCCCAGGTCCAGCCGACCCCTAGCCCACTACCCCAGGGTCACCCACCAGACTCACCTCCTGGGTCTGGCTGTCCCCCCGCTCACGATGCCAGGCTCACTGTTTAGACTCTCCTTCCGGGTCTTGTGGCTGTCCATCCCATGCTGGTGAATCTTCCGAGTTACACGTGGGTCCTTTGAGCAATGGTCTATGGACTACAAGGGGGGGTTTATGAGGTGACAGAAGACAACTTTCCAGACCTTTTTTTTGGAGTCAGCTGTAGAGGAGTGTCAGCTGATCTGCATAAACTCACATACTTAGAACGGCTGCTATTGTGATGTCACGGGGATATTACCATGTCCTGGTGTTGTGATGTCACGGGGATATTACCATGTCAACTGACAGTTTCCATGGTGCATAGAAGCCCTCAGCATCCACAGCAGCTCCCTGGCATGCTCATTGCAGGAGGATCCTGCTGACTGAGGCATTCTCAGTGGAAAGCCTGCACCCTGATGGGAGTGTCATTTTTACTCTGGGGTCACCATCCGAACTTGCCTCCTGGGTCAGGCAGTCCTGCGGCCATGACCCCAGGGTCATGACTCCACGACTGCTGTCCATCCATCACCATGGCCTGGCATCCCTCCCTGCTGCTCTCAATGGCTCCTGCCCCACCCCACTGTTCCCACATCATCCAGTTGCCCGGTGGACCTTGGGGAGCCACAAGGCGGCTGCTGGTGAAAGCCAGAGCCCAGCAGGCAGGGCAGCAGGTGCGGGAGCCTTGGCCTGTACCAACACGTGACAAGGCCTGTTTACATTGGCTGTCCCAGAGAGGCCTTGAGAGCCTCCTGCAGCCGAACTCCTTGTTGGGGTAAATGAAGCCCAGACCACTGGTTAGGGTGAAATTTTCTGCTTTATGCATCTCTTGCAAAAGATAAAACTATAAAAATCTCATACAATAAATACAGTTGCAAAACAGGTCCTTTCAGAGCAACTCGTGAGCCACATCCTTTGAGTATAATTATGAGGACACTGGGAGAGTGACACTTGTCAGCAGCTTGTCACTTTCCCCACCTACTGTGCTAACAAAAACCACTTTCAATAACCAACAAGTTTTCACATGTACAACTGCCTGCTGGAGGACATCCTGAACTAAACTGAAATCGTATGCTCAGCCTGACGGAGGAGTCTCCCACCTTTGGTGCCAATTTAACTTAAATGCTTCCAGTCACTACCTTAAATTACACCATTTTGGGTTTTGCCTGTAGGCAAAGAAACATTTAATACACTGCTACTTTAATTTTCTTGTTCTTACCCACTAAAGAAGTAACAACCAGCCCAATTTCCAGAGATTACCAATTTGCCAGTCCCTTAGCAGCTGGCTCCAATGTGGGAACAAGAATTGTCACTGTCAAAAATAACAGTCACAGCACTTTAAATTTCTGACAGTGTCAAGAAATGAGGTCTCATTTTTAACAGAACACCACTGTTAACAGGGCTCTGGAAAACCTGCCAAGTAAACATATTTCAGTTTAAGCCTGAGACATCAAGCCAGGTTAAATTCACTGGATCCAACTTTGTTCCACTGAAGTCAAAGCTTGATTCCTACCTGGCATGAAGCCATCTAGCCCAACTAAGTTATATATATCCCATTAACTCTGCTGTCTGAGAGACTAATTTTTCCCTACTAGTATGCTAAAAATAGACTACTTCTCAAATGTATTTTCAAACCACTATAAATTAGATATTCTTACCAACCAGACATCACTTGCAGAGGAATTCCGCACCCACAGGAAAACATATCTGTACATTTCAGTTGCCCCACGGCAAGCTGGTCATACCCTAACACCTGTTCTCCCTCAGCTGCAAGCTCTACGTTGTAGGAAAAGAGCTGTCACTGTGTTTCCAAAACCAGCTGCGCTATCAGCTCCTTGGCATCCTTCATGCTGGAGGAGATCTCAGAGCCATCTTCTGCCACGTGGGTACCAATCAAGAACATCTTCCTCTCATCCCCAATATCTGACAGCGCCAGAGCATCGTGGATATCGGTGATGCAATATGCACCTTTGAGGTCCTGATATACAAAAATAAAACAAGCCTGTTAGTTGCAAGAGGTGGCGGTACCATTCCCGCTTTGAGCCACTGCTTTTGTTTAGAGAGGGGAAGGGTCTCAAGGGCTCTGGGATGCCATCCTTATGTACATTCTATGAAGTCAAGTTCCCATGCCCTAAAATGCTTTGGGGAAAAAAGTTCATCCCTAACCTGATTTCTTCCCAAAGAAAAACAGGTAGTTATGTTTCAATAGTAATTCCAGTATTTCTGGTAACTATGAAAGATCACATGTACAAGGCAGACAAAAGCCTTGCTGGCCCAAAACCACAAGTGTCCAGCAGAGGGTTACCAAGAACAGGGCAAATGTACAACAGTCATGCCCTGCAGACCTTCTCAGCCGCAAGTGTTTCTGACACACTTGAGTTTGATGAAGCCTGTGCCTGCACTTGTGTTCAAGAGTAGCACAAATGACTACTAGTAACATGCCTCAGATACTAGAAATTTAAGGGGGAAACTATGTGGAGCAAACTAAGCACACAGCCCTGACGGAAGAAAATCTGTGATTAAAACCCCTGGGCTGTTCTGACTGTAACAGAGGCTCAATTCTATTCCAGGTACAGCACCAATCATTGACATTTTCACAAAGATCTTAAGAGGAAGCACTGCCTTGTGAGGAAAGCTGCTCCTTCTTTAAGGTTTCAGCAGCAGTCTTAGGAGCAACCAAAGGCAAACAACGGTGCTTCACTTTTTAGTTGCTGCTAGGTAAAGTGGTACTTCTAGGCAGATACTCAGAACAGAAACCTAACTCCAGATCTAACTGTGGTCTCCCTTGCAGCTCTCAAACCTTGCAACTGTACAGCAGTTCCCACCCACAGCTCTGATTGCATCTTCACCAAGCACAGGACCTGCATCTTGCAGATCCGAAACTCAACCTTGGATTGTTTTGTTTTGTGGTCAGCAGGTGTGTAAAAAAGACTCCCAGGCCATGAGGCCTCCTTAAAGGCATGAAGCCTCCTTTGAAAAGCTTTGCGGCTGTTTCCAGAGCTGCTGCCAGCCCAAGCTCAGCTAGCAGCATGGAACTCCTACCTGCTTGTTGGCCAGAACCACCACCGGCAGGGTGGAGTTGTTCTGGATCAGTTGATGAAGCAGCTGTTTTGCCACAGGCAGTCGGGCGTGATCAGCCGAGTCCACAACAAAAACTAGCAGCAGCACTTTGGGCAAGTACATCTTCCAGTATGAACGCAGAGATTCACTGCCCCCAACTGGAAGAGAAGAACAGCAGCACAGGATTCACCAGGTAATTCAAGCAGCACTGCTCCCAGAGGTGCAAACAGCAGGCCCTGGGCTTAAAATCCAAGGTATTTGGGTTACCAAAGTATTTGAGCTACTGCATATGTTTATGCTCTGGGGAGGAAAAAAAAATCATTCCACTTTAAGCTCCTATTTTGAGAGGATTCTGGGTTCAGTTTCTTTATAGTTGCTTTCTGCCTTGATGGTTCTTGCTCTCAAGGAAGTAGGGAGAATAGGTTCAGTGTCTGTAAACACTATATTAAAAAGTCCCCATACAACCTAACTCCAGATGCCCATCTCAAGACAAAGCACGTCTACAATTTCCAGAAAAGAGACTTAGCTCTGAGGTGAGGAAGGCTCTCATATTTGTATGCCACAAGGAACTAGTTCAAAACTCTCACAGCTTTCATACTGTCAATAACCAGAGGTGCTTAGGAAGAGACAAAAATCATCACGGCACTCTTCAGGCAACCCCTGGGAGTAATCTTTGCACAGGATACGTTTCTACCTGAGCTCTTCTCTGCTGGATACAGAGCAAAGCTGTTCACCTTCAAAACCAGGACTTAAAACAATTTTGTGGAGAAACCATATGCAGCAAGCTGAGACTGTTGTTCCCATCTGGGGACAGAGTCCAGTAGTTTGAGTTTAACAGGAGAAGGAATAACTAACAGTATATTAAGTATTTCAGATGCGTTTTCAGGTCTCCAGGTACACTGCAGGACCACTCGTTCACCACTTTGTCTGTTTCAAAGCAATTTTGCTTCCACTTAAATCAAAAGGGTTTGGCAGTTTCAAGAATATGGAAAGGGAAGTAACATTTCCAGCTAGGGCATTACCTGCCTCTCCTTCAAGTGCCCCAGCATACCTGCAGGCAGAACGGTGAGTGCCACTGTGGAAAGGAGCCAAAGGGCTGCGACTGACACATAATGCCTGGGACAGAGGCCTGTGATTCCATACTGTGATATGGGCTCAGCACCACTCCCTTTGTTAAGTGCATTCATGCATAGCATAACCCAGGGGTTAGCAACCTCACAGAGAACACCTTTTTTCCCCAAATCAGTAGGAACTCAGCAGAAGCCAGGAGCTCCTGTCCCTGGCAGAGGCAAGATACCACCCACTTATCTATATGATGGTACAAAGAAAGAAGTTTTCTAACAGTCTAAACCAGCAAAGTAAACCCCCTGCTATCTGCTGATCACCTTGTGCCATGTGATCATAGCACAGGCTGCTAACCCCTGGACTAGGCGATGGTACAGACTGGATAAGTAACCAGATTAGAGAGCCATGCACAGATTTACCTGGCTGAAACTGGACTGAGACATTGCATTTCCCATGGGTCAGATCGCAGCCATCACATCTCAGTCACTACCAACCTGGACCAGAGAGGGAAGGACGACTCAGAAACAACAGGTTCTGCTGTGGGATGTGCAGTGCTGCGCCCAGACCATCCGCAGGCAGGAGCAGAGATGCTGTGGGTTTCTCTGGGCTCAGATAGGCAAAGCACACCCCAGTAGGAGACACCCTCTTACCTAGTTAAGGTGAGAGGCAGAGACTACGAGCATCTCAAGAGAGATGCAATCCCCAAGCCACCAGAGACTCGTATGGTAGTAAGACTGGGACTGAAACTCTGCCTTAGTGGCCTCATCCTCACACCCCAAAAACTTACCTGGGAACAGCACAACTCCTTTAGGCCTTAGGCTGCCAAATGAGCCACTTGAGCACTGGCAGAGCAGGAAGCAACAGGCAGCTTCTGCCTCCACAGACAGCAGGCACTGATGAGGTTAGGATGTCAGCCTTTCTGTACCAGGGACTGACCTGACCCCAGGGCTCTACCTTTCCCATCAACTAGCTGCACCTAGAACAGCTGTGACACCCCAAAAGCATCACAGGAGATGCCCTCTGCAGGCATGGACAATACCCAAAAACCAATACTAAGGACAATACAGAAATCTTAGCAAAATGCTATAGACATTCAAAAGCTGTTTTCTCTTCCCCCTCTCTTCTTTCACTTATTATTTATTCATGCTTTGCCAGGCGTGAGCACCAAGGAGAAGCTGTACAACAGCTATGGACAGCAACACAGGGCTTACTGGGGAAACCTCTGCTTTGGGCTGCTTCCACCCAATAAGGCTTGTCACCCTTCACGCTCTGGGAGCAGAAGTCCCTGGAGCTCAGGGATGAATGAAAACTGTCCTCCTCTAACACCAGTGTGTCCTCTCTTTCAGAGAGCCTGGGTAGGAAAGCAGAATCTCCAAGGAGAATGAAACAACAACTTCATGTTATCAGAGCAGGCACGTAGGAGTACGCAGCTTTCAAAGTATGTGCCTGATCATTAGGGCATAAGATACAAACTTATTACATATTCCATACTAAAACAGGCTCACTCACTCTCCAGAAACTCCATTTGGGACTCTTCGGTGTTGATGCAGATGGCATTGAAGCCCTCGGTGGGAGCCACGCTGCGCTTGACATGGTTTGTTGCCAGGGAGTGGAGAACGCTCGTCTTCCCAGCCCCATCCAAGCCCAGCACCAGGATCTGCTTAGCGTGTCCTTTACCCTGCAAAGTGAGGGGCAGCACACTTAGCCAGGCAGTGCAGCAAGTGCAACGCTCAGCAGGGCTGGGGGAAAGGAGGAAGCTGAACACGAGGCCTGGAGGGCATAGCAAAAGCCACGAAAAGGAGGAAGACCTCGTAAGGGTAATGGGTTCAAATTGAAGGAGGGGAAGTTTAGGTTAGATATTAGAAAAAGGTTGTTTTAGTGTGAGGGCGATGAGACACTGGCACAGGTTGCCCAGGGAGGCTGTGGCTGCCCCGACCCTGGCAGTGTTCAAGGCCAGGCTGGATGAGGCCTGAGTAACCCGGTCTGGTGGGAGGTGTCCCTG